TGCTGCGCTGGATCAACAAAGTCGGAAGTAATTAAATTATGGTAACAGTATTGCGAGAAGCTGATGGCCACTAATAATGATAATGATAATATGAATATAACAATAAATCAAAGCGAATTATGGGACAAATCTGAACCACTTATACTACGAAGTGAAATTGAGATGGCTATCAAAAAATTACGCAACCACAAAGCAGCTGGTGATATTGTGATCAAAATGATAAAAGCAACTGCAAAAAAGGTGGTTGATATAATCCACAAAATTTGCTCCAAGATATGGACCACAGGCGAATGGCCAAAGTAATGGYGTGAGTCCATATATATCCCAATCCATAAGAAGGGAGACAAAAGAAATTGTAACAACTACCGTACTATAGTCCTAATTCYCCGTACAAGTAAGATCAGATTATATGTGATATAAGAAAGGCTAAAACCATATCTGCTCCCAAAATTTCTCAAGAACAAGCAGGGCTTGTGCCGGGAAGAGGAACAAGGCAACTCCTAAACATTCGACAGATAATAGAAAAATACTACGAATATAATATTACAGCTATTTGCTGCTCTTAGATTATACTAAAGCTTTTGACACCGTTAAATGGAATCTTTTGTGGCGCATTTTAAAAGAAAGAGTGCCAGAGCACCTTATATAGCAATAATAAAAATGATATATGCCAATGGCCAAGCGTATGTCCGTGGGGAGTCCGATCTTTCCGAGAGCTTTCGGGTGGGACAAGGCGTAAGGTAAGCTGCGTATTGTCACCACTGCTCTTTAACATATATGAAGAATGGATTATGAGACACGCTACGCAAGAATGGAATGGAGGAGTGTCCAYTGGTGGCAAAAAAATTTCCAATTTAAGATACACTGACGATACGGTGCTTTTAGCAAAAACAGGAATGGAACCAACTTTCTAGAACTAGTAGAGAAATTTAGCAATGAGTCAGGCCTAAAACTTAATAGATCAAAATGCTCAATAATCGCTGTTTATAGGACAAGAACATTATCYCTCACGTTTAACCTCATACCCGATATAAATCGTAAAAACAGTGTAATATATCTAGGTGCACTTTTATCAAATAAAAGTGGTTCGGAAGAGGAAATCAAACAAAGAGTGGATATGGCTAAGACTGCGATTGCCAAACTTTCAAAATATGGAAGGATCATGATATCAGGAAAGAAACGAAGTTAAATCTAATGAAAAAGCTGATATTCCCTATATTAACATATGGTTCCGAATCATGGACCCTAAATTCATCGTGTCGACGAAGAATAGAAGCATTTTAAATGATTGCGTATAGAAAAATGCCGCAAATTCCATGGACCGACCATAGAACGAATATATCCATAATCCAGGAAATTAATATACAACCACAAGACTACCTCTTGATAACAATTCAGAGCCAAATACTAAAATTATTTGGCCACGTGATAAGAAGAGACAATTAAGAATAGGACATTATTCAAGGAAAAGTCGAAGAAAAGAGGAGCAGAGGCATGCCCCCATTTGCTATATAGACCAAATTAAAAATCTCACACAAATGTCAATGTCAGACAGCATTCGGAATATAGGGAATAGAGAGTTCTGGAAAAATGTATCCAATCGAAATAACATAATTGCATGAAAGTTATGACGTTCGAAATCGAACAACGATAAAGAAGAAAGAAAGAAATAGATCAGGGTGTTGGATTACACAGGTCGTGAAGCTCCAAAGCCCTGTAAACTCTCAAATAGTTTCAACGACCCTTAAAAAAATCTCCACGTTTAATGAGAGTTATTGTTATGGTATGGCACTGGAACGATTTATAATTGTATTTTAATTACGTTAGATTAGTATTAATGAACTGTATTATTTATTTATTTATGTGTTTCGTACATATTATTTTAGACAATAAGGCAAAAAAAAATATTTAAAATATAAAATTGGTGATATAATGCGGATTTGTTAGCTTATTGAAACATAACAATTAAGCCCATCTCTCCACTAAAATTGACCAAATCACCGTCGACGATATACTAACGCTGAGTCCCTGCATAATAATATACTATACGTCATGAATACGTCAGTTATGATATTTTATTATGAAGTTTAACAATTTTAATGATATGCTCACACATCATTTCACGTACGAAAAACACAATAATTGATATCGTAAGGCTATTATATTATATTATAACAAAAATGATTCTAAATAACAAAGAAAGAAATAGACTAAAAATAAATATGTAAGTATTTAATACCCTATACCAGCCCTACCTAACAATTTTTTCAACTGTTATCAAAGAAATGACGAATAATGCGTTTAGCTTTAAAATAGCACGCATTTTCAACTATTACGATGTTATACATATTATTATAGCTACTAATATGTATATTAAAACAATCGGTTTATTGGAATCGCATGCGTATTGCCTATGCAAGGGCAACCGATGTGGTCAAGATATAGTAACTATAGTAAGTATA